GACGCATGAGCAAGAAAGTCTCGATAGAGAGTTGAGAGGGCGAGGAGTTCTTTTTAGAAATAGTCGTTATTACACTTATTTGGAGATTAAAGGTTATTTTGGCATTCAATCCTTACTCGGCTACACGAGAAATACATTACACTGTTGTATCACACTTATATTATATTATATATTATATATATATATATATATATATATATATATATATATATATATATATATATATATATATATTATATATTATATATATATATATATTATATATATATATATATATATATATATATATATATATATATATATATATATATATATATTTATATATGTTATTATGATAATGATAATGAATTACATTTATATAGCGCATTTTTCATATGAATATGTTCAAGTGCGCTTCTTACAGTAGTAAATAAATATACAAATTATAAATATTAGATAGAAATATATTACAATAATGTTAGGATTTTATAAAAATGTCACAGCGATAACTACAAGTAAAAACGGAACATGCACAAGAATTAATTAAAAGCTTCTAAGAATAGAAATGTCTTTAGTAACTTTTTAAATGTAGCTGTTGAGGATGCAATCCTGATAGCTTTGGGAAGAGCGTTCCATAAAGTTGGGGCAGCGAGAGAAAATGATCGACCACCCAAGGTCTTAAGAGTTTTAAATCTGGGGCGTTCTAGTAGACACGGATTAGAGTGGGATCTAAGGTTGTAACTGGTGGGTTTTTTAATTGAGAGGAGCTTTTTAATGTACGTTGGAGCTTGATTGTTTAGGGCCTTGTATGTAATAGGGAAAATTTTAAAGTCGATACGAGACTTAATTGGGAGCCAATGAAGATCATATAAGACAGGAGTGATATGATCGAACCGAGGAGTATTGCAGATAAGCCGAGCTGCCGCGTTTTGAACAGCTTGTAATTTCCTCAATTGGGTTGAAGGAAGGCCATAAAAAAGACTGTTACAGTAGTCCAGGCGGCTTATAACGAAGGCCTGCACAAGAATCTGAGTTGTATGTTGATCGAGGAACTTCCTAATACGTCTAATGTTATAAAGGTGAAAGAAGGCAGCTTTACAGCATTTAGTAACATGGGTGTCCATTTTTATCTGCGAGTCAAACCAGCAGCCGAGGTTCTTGGCGTTCTCAACACAAGTAACAACATTGCTGCCAACACGAATATCGTTGAAGTCGATTTTTTCGAGTTGCTGCCAAGTGCCAATTAAAATTACTTCGGTTTTTCCTTCGTTGAGTTTCAGTCTATTAGCAAGCATCCATCGTTTGATGTCATCAATGCACATCTCAACAGTTCGGACAGCGGTTTCTTGGTCGATACGAGAATCTGCGCGAAACGAGATATAAAGTTGGGTGTCGTCAGCATAAGCACCTGGTAGGTGACGTTTTATTAACTCAAGTAGTTCGCTTACATAAAGAACGAATAGAAGCGGACCTAAACATGACCCCTGAGGAACACCAAAATCCACATTAAATTTATCAGAAGACACACCGCCAACTGTAAGTCTTTGTATTCGCTGAGAAAGATAGGATGTAAACCATTTGAGAATAGTTCCGGATAGACCGAATTTCAATTGCAGGCGCTGAAGTAGGAGAACATGATTGACGGTATGAAACGCAGCACTGAGGTAGTACAAGTAAAGTGACGTGTTGCCTATTCATGTTCATAAGTATATCGTTCTTAACACGCAGTAGTGCTGTCTCGGTGCTATGAAATTCTCGATATGCCGGTTGATTACCAGGGTACAAATGATGAACTGATAGATGATTATGGGATTGATTGCAAACTGTTCTTTCGACTAGTTTTGAAACGTATGAGAGGTTGGAGATAGGTCGTAGGTTTTCAAATATTACTTCCAAGCCTTGTTTCTTGAGTCTTGGCTGGAAATCCGCCTCTTTCCAGACACATGGGAATATGCCAGACTCTAGTGAAAGATTAATAATTTTGGTAATAACAGGCAGAAGAACATCCAGGCATTCGATGACCAATTTAGTTGGGATAGGATCGAAGGAAGTAGATTTCTTGTTTGACGAGGTTATTAACCGTTCAGTATCATCATCACTCATAGGAGAAAATTCTTGAAAATTCTAGTCACTGTTCAGTGAGACCGACGGCATGTCAGAAAGAACTGCTTGGTCATAGGTTGATGCCGTATCAAGTTCAGAGCGAATATTGATAATCTTTTGAGCAAAGAATTGTCCTAAATCATTAGAGAGAGCAGTGCTGTCGTTATAGCGAGGAAAGGCAAGATCAGAATCATGTCTAAAAAGACCTTTAGTTGCACGAAATAGTTTCCTCTGATCTTCACTGTTCTCTGAAATAAACTGTATAGAAATTTTGCCGCGCTTGGTTCATAAGAAACGTTGTATGATTTTTCGCAGTTTTAAAAGCAAGGAAATCAGTCGGAAGTTTCGTACGTCTCCATTTCCTTTCTGCTTTCCTTCTCAAACGTTTTGCACATTTAATCTCATCATTGTACCATGGGACAGCAGGCCTGTTGGTAATAGTCTTGGAGATCAGTGGCGCTTGATGATTTAGAGCAGTCATCAAGCTATTATTATAGCATGAAAGCAGGTCTGTGAGCTTGGATGGTGGGTTTTTACAGAGATCGGAAGAGGATATTTCTTCTTTTAAAGCCTCGATATTGACAGATTTAAGTTTACGAAAAGAAATATGTTTCTGTGTTAGTGGAACTGCGTTAGATTCAAGGTTACAGAGAACAGCGTTATGGTCAGAAAACAAAACAACCTTTGGCAAGTCAAATTATGTTTTAATTTTTACTTTTTGCAGAAAATGGGCGCAATATGCAGTACTATATGCAAGAAAAGTCATTACCATGAAGGTTTGTTTAAGTCAGTATTGACAGTAATACGACTTGTACGTCCAAAGACTACGAATTGCTAAAAACTAAAAACTTTTGTTAGAAAATTTAAAATATCAATGCTTAAGGCCTTGTTTACACTAAGATTGATTCAAAGTGGTTGGATCTCAGTTCGCATTAGATCGATCTCAGTCCGCATTTGGGGAGCTTTCAAACTAGGCCGAAAAACACACTTGCCGCCAATTTTGAAATTGCAGAAAAATTTCCAGCACATCGTAAAACTGTGGTGTGGAGCCTTCTTTCTTGATTTTATGGGTTTTGCAAAGGAATCTTTATGCGGTTTGTATAGAGTTTTCAAGTGTTTGCATTTAGTTCTGCATTGCTTCCAGCTCCTGTCGGCACAAACCCGCTGCTTCTGTCTTTACTTCTTCTGTTATAGACATAGATATCTTATATACACTAGATAACGCATCTCATTTAGTAAAATTGAAGCCAAGAATATTACAGCGGTTACCCCCATTTGAATAGATGGCGGCCATGTTGGTCGTTCCCACTTGCTAATAAACGCTTAAAAACAACAATAACTTTCATTATTTGAATAGTTTAAAAACGTATTTGGAATAGGGTTAACTTATTGTTTAAGTTCCCTGTTTAAGAAATAGAAAACATACGAATCCTCTCATTTCATGGGAACGACCTGAGACTGCAATCACGGCTTCAATTTTTGAATTGCAGAATAATTAGATGCACTATCCAGTGTATATAAGATATATATGGTTATAGATCTTATTCATAAATCGTGATCGAGGCCTCGTATCCTAGGAAACGGAAAAAATCCGGGAAAACAGGCGAAAGCTGCTTGAGAAGCCAGATTCAGACGTCATTGCAAATTCAGATGTCAGGCTTGTTTCTTGTTGTTTATTTTGATTTTTGTGTGTTTTGTAAGATTTTGTGTTCACAACGAAAGCTATAAACGATTATAGTAAAAAATGACGGGTTTTTGTCCCGTTTTTAGTGCGGAAAGTCTAAAAATATGACAACGTAGCGGCGGTGTTTATTCAGAAGCGAAAAAACAGTACTTTACTGAGATTTTAACGTCAATACATCCGTAAAAATTCAAGACCACTATGGAATGTAAGTTTATTTTATAACTTGATATGAATATGAAAGAAAACAAGAGTTCAAAAACCACAAGAAAACGTCAAATGTTATTGATTCGCATGGTAAATAAAAATATGAACTGTGCCTGGGTTCGAAGATATTGTGCAAGCAGCTTAAAAGTTTAAAAAGTAAGAGATACAATACCTGAGTGAGTTGTTATCTTATTTCTTGAACAATAGTTTAATATTTCGTACGATTTTCACGTTGTAGACGTTTTGTGGCCTTGCAGGCCCTTGTTGGTTATTTTTTTTGGCCATACAAACTACAACAAAACAAAAGTTTCCTTTTCCGATTTGATTTGATTTTCCGATTTGATTTGACCCAGCATCTTTTACGTTAAAATATCACATCATATTTTCTCTGAAGTATTATTTCAACTTTCATGCTCAGCTTTATAGATATATTATCGAAAAAAGCCGTTCGTTTTTTTAGTTAATTTTTTTATTTACTCCAGCCCTGCAGCCAGCAAAAATTTTTTTGTCAATTTTCCCGCGTTTTCCACCGTTTCCTAGGATACGAGGTCTCATCACGATTTATGAATAAGGTCTATACATTGGTATACATTTGAGTTTCTATGCATCCTTGTAGTTTTAGTTGTATCGTTTGGCTTCCCCATGCATTTATTAGCACAATTGTATCCTCTTCCGTCCAAATATCTCCGCGGCTGGCAGGCTATTTGCATAAAAATGGCGGCAGATCTGAACGCGCAAGACGATAGGGATTGGTAACCAGAATTTCAGTTCGCTTTTAGGTTCCTTTCCGTTCACATTGCGCTCGGATTACGTCGAGTTGATTTCAGACTGATTTCAGACCACCTCCAGAAGTGGGTTCGTTTAGATCGATCTCAGTTTTCATTCTTGCATTCACATTGAAATCGCTTTGCAATGGATCGGTCTGAGATCGATCTAACTCGCTAGTGTGAACGAGGCCTAAGATGTGATCAACATATTCACATTCCTGAAAGATTCTTTTATCGCAATGAAAACATTTACTTCCGTCAGCAGAAATTAAATATTATACTTGGGGTTATATATTGACCCACCTTAACTTAAATATTTGGAGAAGTTTCAGTTGTGTAAAATTTGCATTTCAAATATTTCTCAATAGTTCCTTATGTCCCTGTCTGCGACCTTGGTATTAATGATGGAGACATTCGTCGATTGTGGTCTTACAATAGTACAACTGCAGGGGGTAAATACGTCTTTGTGACAAACAACCCTGTGCCAGAAGGTAAAGTTATCAATTTAAAATATCCTATTCCATGTTTCAAATATTGCTGATCAAGACCTTCATTGTTTTCTTCTCGCAAATCGTTTATCTTTTCCTTCGGGATCTTTATGACTTATTCTTGCGTGACTCAGTTTTCCACTAGCAGATAACTGTATTATATATAAGTTGCGTGATTTCCATATCTAGCTGTAAATTAACTACTGTCCAACCAGAAAACAAGTAATGTATAATAAACGCAATGATCGTTTGGACTGTTATAATCAGAAAGTACGACGCAAGTTGCCTTGATAAGTGTTATCAATTTCGGCTCCGGCTCCGACTGATAACACCTAGGGCCTGTTTACATCGAGATAGGGTGACCCTATCAAGAGGGTTACTCTAGCAAGCGGGTTACGCAACTTTAATGTGTTTTATAGGTTGCGTTTACATGCGCCCTAGCGTTACCCGATGGTGCATGACCATATAGCAGCAGGGCTATATTTTTGTTTACATAAGCTATGTAAACGCGTCAGGCAGGGTTACCCTACCACGAGAGTCATGTTTTATACGTCCTACTGTGACTGTTAGGCAAACAAGGATGGCGTCGGAAGATTATACGTACATATCAGCCTGGCGAGTATTTTGAACAACACTGGCCAGAAAAATAAAGCGGATATGTAATCTACACATGAGGAAGCAGACGCAGAGAACGAAGCTTTGCCTTTGGACGAGAACGCTGAAAGTAACAGAACACAACATGGAAATGCAGCGAGCAAAGGCCCAAGAAATAGCATTATACAACTTGCCGCTAACTGACATTGCGTACCGCCAACATTTTTCTAATACAGACAGCTTAGCGACCACGCATAGGTGCCCTACCTCCATGTAAGGAAGCCCTTACTTCGACTTTGATAATTCGGGATATCACAAAAATCTCATCCAATAACTGTAACCTGTAGCCAGGTTTTTATTAATGATAAGTTTTTCATCCACAGGTGGTTCTGCGTATGTTGTAGAGGCAACTGGCGAAGCTCAAGGAACAACTTTGCGTAAGACGATAATATTTCATGCATTAAGAATGATTTATACTAGTTGGACGTAATGCACATCAAATTGTCTGGACTTAATTTGATAATTCATAATGCACCTTCTACATTTGCACCCTATGCAGTCGAATTGCGTTCTAAGCCTCCATTTTTGTGGGCAAACCGTTTTTAAAAGTATTTTTAAACAACACTCCTGCACTCAAAAATTTACTTTCCAAAATAATTTTAGTGGTAAAGATACCAGCATGCCCGAAACTACCCATGTTTGCCTAAAGTTTTCACAAACGTTTCGGAACTTTCAGTTTAGCGGACATTTTCTAACTGTGTAATGTTTTTATACACCCTGTACATTTATCAGAATACGCCAGTATATCGCTATAACATCTATATATACCACATTTATTTAAACAGTTGTTAGTCTACGACACCGCGGGGAAATATTTCCCCCGAAAAAGAAATTTGTTAATGAATTTACCAACCACAGTAGAATTTTTTTTGTTGCACTATGGCCTCAGGGCTATTGCGGGATGGTCAATATCGAGCGGGCAATTAAAAATGAGCTGCCAAAAGGGAATTTCCTTTGCGGGCGTAATTGCCTCGCCTTCCCCGGGTTGCAAAGATTTCAGTTTCCCAGCAGACCAGCTAACTAAGGTTTCTGTGTTATAATTTGATACGCTGTTTATACGACTTTTAATATGTTACTATCCGAAAATATGTTGTTACCATTAATTATCTTTGTCGAAAATTGTTAAAAAAAAGTTAAAATCCTGCGTTTTTAAATGTTCAAGTAATAGTGTTGCATGTAAGTACAGGTAATAGCATGGTTTCG